GGGGGCCCTCCACGGCTCTCACGAACCGCCCGAGATGTCCTCAGTCATCCTACAGGGCAAAGCGGGTTTCACTTTGTGGGTGTTCCCTCTCCAGTGAGGACTAGTGGTGACTGCTGCCACTGCGGGGTCAGGTGAGGCCCTGGGGTCCCCAGGAAACCCATTGGGGTGGGAGGAGGGCCTTCTGAGCTTCATTCCTCAGTTTCCTAATTGGAAAATGTGTAGAAAAACTCAAGTCTTGCTGGCCTCCCAGGGGTCACTGGGAAAGAAACACTCACAGGCTGTAGCACAGCTGTCCCGGGGCAGCTGTTGACATTCGGAGCTCCTGTCTCTGATCAGCACCACACAGAGGCGCGCGCACACACACACACACACACACACACACACACACACACACACACGCACTCACACTCACCACCTCATAGCAGGAATCCCCTCCTTTCTCTTCAGAACCTCCCACCTGGTTGTGGCCGGAGAGTTTGACCAGGGCTCCGATGAGGAGAACATCCAGGTCCTGAAGATTGCCAAGGTGAGGTGGCCCAGGCAGGGCAGGCTAACGGGGCTGGGCCAACATCCTGAGAAAGCCCTGGGCTGCAGGGAGGTAAAGGAAGCCAAGTTCCTCCCGGTCACCCAATACCCCCTCCAGATGGGCAAAAGCAGAAAGCAGGGGGTGAGGTTCCATGCAGGGGGGTCGGCACCTCCGTCCTGGGCCCATGAAAGAAGCTGCCGAGCTGAAGCGGCCTGTGGTCAGAGGGGACGGAGGCGATGAGGGTGACCCAGCCCTGGGTCGGTTTCTGCTCAGACCCCAACTGTGGCTGTCCGCCCCATCTCAGGTGTTCAAGAACCCCAAGTTCAACATGTTCACCGTCAACAACGACATCACCCTGCTGAAGCTGGCCACGCCCGCCCGCTTCTCTCAGACCGTGTCCGCCGTGTGCCTGCCCGATGAGGCCGACGACTTCCCCGCCGGCACCCTGTGCGCCACCACCGGCTGGGGCCTGACCAAACACAACAGTGAGTGACCCGGTGGGCGGGCGGCAGGTGGAGGCTGCGGGGAGGGGGGCTGCTGGTGCTGACCACCACCGGCCCTTCCAGATGCCAACACCCCCGACAAGCTGCAGCAGGCGGCCCTGCCCCTCCTGTCCAACGCCAGCTGCAAGAAGTTCTGGGGCAACAAGATCACCGACCTCATGGTCTGCGCCGGCGCCAGCGGCGTCTCCTCCTGCATGGTATGGCTGCCTGGGCTCGCTCTGCACCCTCCCTCCCCGCCTGGTAGCAGGAACCCCCTCCTTTCTCTTCAGAACCTCCCACCTGGTTGTGGCTTGGGTGGGTTCAGGCAAGAGCCCAGGCCAGGGGCGTGGGCAGAGGGAAGTGGGGAGCAGGCAGGCTCCTTCCTGGGTGCTCCTAGCTGAGGCTGGGAAGGATCTCCTGGCGGGCCACCACTGACTCGGTGGGGCTTGGGGCCACCACAATGCAAGATTCCATGGATGTCAAGTTCTGAGCAAACAGCACCTCCTGGAGCTGTACAGGGCGCCGCCTGGGCAAGGAACGGGCACCCAGGGCTCCAGAAGCAGCCCTTGCTCCTCACCATGGCCCCACAGCCCTTGCTTTCCTCCTATCAAACCAGCGTTGTGAGCCTCCATCACAGAACCTCACCCTGGGGTGGCCCCAACTTCCAGGGCATGAGCTAAAAGAGCTGCTCAGGTTCCCATAATCCTTCCAGGAGACGGGTGCTGGGTCTAGGGCTGCCAGGCCCTGGACTGGGCTCTGGGAACCATCCAGGGGCCTCTGGGCCAGGCTACCTGGGCTGCCAGACCCAAGCCCTCTCCTCCTCCTGCAGGGCGACTCTGGGGGCCCCCTGGTCTGCCAGAAGGATGGAGCCTGGACCCTGGTGGGCATCGTGTCCTGGGGCAGCGGCACCTGCTCCACCTCCAGCCCTGGCGTGTACGCCCGGGTCACAGAGCTCATGCCCTGGGTGCGGCAGATCCTGGCCGACAACTGAGGCCCTGGCCCTGCCCTGGTCTCCCTGACAACCCTGCTCCCACAAAGCTCAATAAACCCGTGAAAACATGTTGATGGCATCCGTCTCTTGTGTCAGGGCCTGTAAGGCCTCACTCTGCTCCTGAACTTGGGCCTTCACTCCACCTGGTGCAGGGGGTCCTGGGTGGGTCCCTCCTTTGTCACTTCCCCAGAGTGGCCAGGCAGATGAATGGGACCTTGGCTCCCAGCTCCCACCTGGGCTGCGGGGTGCTCACCATCCGCCCCCGGCTTAGTGCTTGGCTTGGCCTGGTGCCGGGGAGTGGCATCCAGAGGACAGGCCTGCTGTTGGTCCCACACCTGTGGCTCCAGGAACCCTCCGGGAGCTGCCCCCTGGCTGCTTCTCCCAGGCCTACTGGAGCCACTGGCGGGGACTCACCACACTCAGTGGTTGATGAGGGAACTGCTGCCCTTTCCCGGCAGCTTCTTCCTATTAAAGAACCAGTCAGTGCCCAGACGGTGTGCTCAGTGGTTGAACATTGACCTATGAACCGGGTTGCAGACTCTATCCCCAGTAGGGGGTGTGCAGGAGGCAGCCAATCAATGATTCTCTCTCATCATTGATTTTCTATCTCTCCCTCTCCCTTTCTCTCTGAAATTAAGAAAAACATAATTAAATAAAAACAAACAAAAAAACCAGCCAGGAGAGCCGTGGCCTAGGCAGAGCAGGCCTGACTCTCAGAACCTCTGAACCAGACCCGGACATCTGCCTCCCAGCCCAGACTTCATGGCGGGCTGGACGCACCCCCAGCTCCCAAGGCCTTGTATCCATTAGCAAACCTGGCCCCACCTTGCAGGGGACACTGGCCTTATCTCCGTGGCCCAGCCGTTTCCTGTGGCCTTGGCTTTCTTCTGCTGGGACCCTCCCCCTCCCCAAAGGACGCCCACAGCCTCACCACAGGTCTCCTCAACCCACTCCTACCCTGGGCATCACCGTGAGCACACCCCACCGTCCCTCCAAGGGTCCTCCGCCTCTCACACCGCAGGAGGCTGCTTTTCATTTTTTAAATTTTATTTAAATGTAGACTGTTAGTCAAATGATTGGAAAATCAATAATGAAAAATAGTTTTTTAGGGGTTTCTCTTGGTGCTGAGGAGCACATCTCAGTGGCACTGACCCCTGGGGGGACATAGCACCCTCATGGGGCTGAGGTCAGCCTCCAGGGGTCACCAAGGCCGTGTGGGCCAAGGGGCCTGCACGCTTTGTGGCCTGGCTGCCCAGAGCTGGGACCTCCAGGCCTGCAGCGCCCTCAGGGAAGACCCCAGCCTGCTCCCTGGCCCGGGCTCTGGGGGCCTAGCTCTGCTTGGGCTCCTGAGCCCATACCCTGCCCTGTCATAAATATGTACAAATCCCTGACAGGCTGGGCACCAGGCCTGGGGAAGCTGGGGATGCCTGTCCCCAGGCCTGCAGCACTGAGACTCTCGGGGAGGTGCCCGGGGCAGCTCGGACCATCACTGCCCTCGTCCCCCACCCTCCATCCCTCAGGTCACTGTCCTCAGGCAGCTGCCAGCTGGCCCAGGACCCGGCGGAACTGCTGAGTGCTATGACCCAGCTCCTTGACCCTGTCCACCATGTCCTGGGCGGCGGTGGGCGATGGGTACTGCAGGGCGGCAGCCTTGGTGGTGGCCACGATGCCACGCAGGAGGTCGCACAGTAGGTTGCTGTAGTGAGTCACCTGGCTGCGGACGTCAGCTGCCTTGGCCTGCCGCGACAGCGTGTCCCCGATGAACACCAGCTTATGGGCGCTGAGGATGACAAACTTGCTGTGCGCCACAAAGATCTTGGGTGGCTGGTTGGTGGCCACGGCGGTGAAGAAGGCGTCCACCGCGTTGGTGAGCGTGGTCAGGTTCGCCTCGCACTGCTCCAGGTAGAAGAGCAGCAGCTGCCGGTCCGAGGGCCCCAGGCTGCCTGTCCGCCCTGGGGCCAGGGACTGGGCCGACGTCCAGTTGGTCAGGTCGTGGTCGATGGGCCGGGACACCTCTTGCTCCAGCCGCTCAAACTGCTTCAGCTGGGGAGAGGGAAGGCAGAGTGAGACCACAGCCAGAGTACGAGGGCTCAGAAGGGGCGGCACTCGGAGTCCGCAGCCGCAGGGACAGGCCTCCTGTCCTGTTGGCCGAGCATGTTCTAGAGCAGTGGTTCTCAACCTTGGCTGCACATTAGAATACACCTGGGAATCTTTTTAAAATCCTGATTTCTGGGCCTCATCCTCTGGAAATTCTGTTTCATCGATGTTTCTAACTATCTCACCCCATAACAAAGAAACAGAATGTGAAAAATCAATAAAATATATTAAAAAAAAATTTAAAAAGATTCCCAGGTGATTCTAATGTGCAGCCAAGGTTGAGAACCACTGTTCTAGAGATTCTCCAAATAACTTTTGTCAATCTCCTTTATGACTCCATTTCTATCACATTTTAAAAATGGCACAAGGAGAGACACGGGGAGTGAGTGGCTGTGAGGACGAGGGACATCACTCTTGTCTGGGTGCTGCTCCCTCATAGTCAGAACACAATCGTGGGGAAACTCTTTGCAACTCCCTGTGAATTTATAAATATTTCAAAATGAAAAGTAAAAAAAAAATCATGTTCTTAACATATACAACATAAAAAGACTTAATGCACCAAGCAGAGAACCTTATGGGTGATATTTTGTGCTAGTCTATGTTTTAATTTTTATTATCTTCATAATCAGAATAAAATTCCCTTAGTTTTTGTAAACTGTCTTTTTCAAGTGATCCAAAATATGAAGGAGATTCTATATTTGCAGATAAATGATTTATAAAGAAAACTGGGTACGATTTAAATGTTCAACAATAATGCTATATGACCTTATAAAATAATTTATGAGGAATGGTTAATGCCATGGAAAAACGGGTGAGATAAAGGCAGATGTAACTGTTCACAAAGTACCATGTTAAACACTCCTCTGGGTAACCGGCTTCTTTTCCTGCTTTCTTACACTTTTCTCTATGTCACTCTAAAACGTCCACCACGATCACTCTGCTAGTGTCAACCCAGCAAAGGCATGGGGCCAGGATGCAGTGGAGTGGGGCTGGGAGGGAGGCCCGAGGCTCAGCTCCGCAGGCTGGCTTCTGACAGACAAGCAGCGTTTGCTGAAGCAGCGGGTGTCCCGCGTCCTCACCTGCTGCAGCTCCAGCTGACCCTTCCCCTGCCGCATGATGTTGCCCTTTTCCAGCAGCTCCTTCTGAGTCTTCTCAAACTCTTCCTTCCCCTGGAGGGGAGACACAAGGACTGGGCTGAGCCAGGACCCCCCGAGACCAGGAGGGGGCGCAGTGAGAAGAGTGGCCACCAGGTGGCGCTGCACACTGCACCAGGCTCGCACGGAGGCCACCGGGCCCAAGGTGGGTCAGCTTTCAGAGGAAGCAGCCTTCCTGTGCCTCCTCCCTCTCTGGCCAGCACAGGAAGGGGTGGGCATACTCCATGTGGCCGGGGCCAGAAGTCACATTCATGCCCATCCCCTAGGCCAGTGTCGGCAAACTGCGGCTCGCGAGCCACATGCGGCTCTCTGGGCCC